GTTGACATCTGCAATTTTTCTCTCTCGTCCTGGACCGTGCCCTTCAACTGGCAAGAGACGAAATGACAATCTGTGCTAGCTTCAACCCCTAGGGACTCACAAGTGTGACTCACAGTAGCTCCACCCCCTCAGCAGCCATACACTCTCCCAGGAGTTTTTAAAAGTTCAACACTCACCCCCTTAAAATGGCTGCCCAGGAACTGCTCACTCCTTCCTTCTCTCTAGCAGGAACTGGCCTAGAAAGGTCTAGAAGGCTCTGGGAGGACTTATAGAGAGCTAGACTGCTAGCTTCACCCCCTAGTGACTCACAAGTGTGAATCACAGAAGCTCAAGACTGCTGGCTTCTCCCTTCCTGGCAGAAACTGACCTGGAAGGCCTCCTTCTCCTTCTCCCTTCCTAGCAGAAATGTATATTCAGTCAAGGGTCTGTTGCTAGTTAAGTACAAGCATTTTAAACACTTGTCTTACTCAGAGTTTTCTAAATATATTGTAAGCCAACAAGGAATTTTAACAAAGATAAATTTGTCAGAGAAATGTGGTTGAATACATAATAAAATATCATATATGTAAGATAGCTGTAAATAAACTATATGAAATGAATTTATGTATAGATTAGTGTTTTTATCTGTTAATTTAGTTTTATTGAGTGTCCTACTTTTTGTGGAGACTTGTCCTCCTTTGCAGTTATGACATCTGCTCACTCTGTAACCATAGAATCCTTGTCAGCATCATGGCAAAAAACATATAATGTTTATTAAACACCAGAAAACACTGGCAATGTCAATTCTGAGTATCTTCTGAGTTTGGAGACTTATTCGGTGCAATATTCAAACATGCATTTATTTGTTTGTTTGTTTATTGCACAGAACACAGTGCAATATTATTTTAAGCAGAGAAAATACTGTATATAGCTGTATATAAAAGATATGGAATGAATTTACATTTAGACTGGTGTTTTTATCTTTTAATTTGTAATGTCTTATACTTTATTGAATGTCCTACATTTTATGGTAACTTGTCCTCCTTTGCAGTTATGACATCTGGCCACTCTGTAACCATAGAATCCTTGTCAGCAGCATGGCAAAATGTTAACAGCTGTCCATTGACATAGAATATTTATCAAACACCAGAAAAACATTGAAAATGTGAATCCTAGACTGATGAAAATCTTCTGAGTTTGGGACTTATTCTGTGCAATATTCACACATGCATTTATTTATTTATTCATTGCACAGAACACATTTTTTGCATAAAAATATTATTTGGAGCAGAGAAAATGCTGTTTCCTGAACAGAAAAGGCTATTTTCTGCTCACACACCTCTAAAACCAAAAACCATGTGTAAATCAGGTGCAGAATCAGCCCCCCCCCAGCATTTTCTGCCCAAGAAAGACAAAATTTATTTTTCGTGCAGACAATGCAGACAATTTTTCAACAGAATGAGTTCCAAAAGCAAATAGTCTTAAAAGCTTTGCAGTGGCAAAAAAATGTTTAAAATCACTAATGGTTTCCTTCAAGAACAAAATTATTGAAGAATTATATCCATAATCACTCTACCTTATGCTAGTACCAGCTCTCTGCCAATCTAAGATAAAATTTGACTGTAAAAATGGTGTGATGGTCTCAGATTCCCCAATTTGTTACCAACCCTTTTATGCAAATAGATAATACAAAGATTAAAAAAAAGCCAGAAGAATGTGATCACCAGACAATTTATTAAAAGTTTTGTAAGAAATAATTGTCCTTGATTGTAGAATATTGTGTTGAGGGATTTCAGCATCTTGTTAGGAGTTTCAGGCAAGACAGCGTTTTCTCCTTATTCCTGGGCAGGTGTTGAACTGCTGTTATACACAAAGACCGAGGCAAGTGCCATAGCAAATCTTTCTTCGAAGCCGAGCTTCTTCCTTCAATCTTTTCTCTGCGTGAAAAAAGCAACATTGATCATAATGTCGTTTCTCACCATTTCACCAAAAAAACAGGTACGGGGATGCTTTTCCCCATTTTTAAAGGGGGGTGGGGAATGGGGAACAGTATGATAGCTATTTATTGAACTGAATTTGGGGGGAAAGTGTCTGCAAATATAATGTGCTGAGTAACATTGTTTCAAATTAATTTTCTCATCTGATTTTGGGAGAGCCAGGTGGTGATTTTTTAAAGAAAAACATGTCTTTTTAAAAAAACTGGGAATTTTTTAAAAGTTGTTTGTCACTCACTCTCAGGGGAGAGAGAGAGATTGTTGATAAATTTCCCAAGTGATAAAAGCCAAATATATAAGCTAATTTTGTGGATGAGTGTTAATTTAATTATCATTACAAAGTTTCTTTTGAAGGTTCTTCCCCTCCCCTCTTTCAAAACAAAAAGTGACCAGAATAACATGGCAAAGGGAGGTTTGGCAGAAGAAACAAAGAACTTTCCTTAGCTTAAAACAACTGGAAACCAAAAAAAAAAAAAACACCCCAAAACAACAACCACTTCTAGCATTCTATAATTTTATAATATAATGAAATTTTTTTTCATGAGTACGACTTTGCCTGCCCCAATCAACTCTCTCTCTCTCTCTGGTCAAAAAGTGTCTGAAGTCAACTACACTGATGGGAGTTGTAGTCCCATCTCCCATCAACAGGTAATTTCAGAGACACTCTCTCAGAGGCAAGGGAAAAACAGGGGTTAAACAAAGGGAGAGATAGGAGGAGGGATTAACTCATGGATCATGGTGACATGATCATGATATCACTAGCAGAGATGACATGAGGGAAGGGAAGCAGAGGTGAGAGTCCCCCAACACCAGACCCATCATTTTCAGACCTCCTGGAAAGGCTTCATGAAAATTTAGTGCATGACTTACAAAAAGACTGGGCTCTTGCCCTTGAGCTGATGAACTCAAAGCTCTCTGCCCTGACAGCCCGCATTGGAGATATAGAAGATACTGCTAATGTAGCTCTTGAACAGGGTCATTCTCATGAGGCCCACATACAAGAGTTAAAACAAATGAATGACTATCTCACAAACAAAGTGCAGGATTTGGAGGACAGAAACAGATGCTTAAATGGGATTCATGGGATTACTGAACAAGAGGAGCATCCTCCTTACCTGGCTGAATAACACCTGCCTGGGTCTTGTTCTCCTTTTGGCTGATATAAAAAGAGCATATCAGACATTGGGGGCATGCAAATGGCAAAAAGCGCCATCTTCAAACCCAGGAAGGAGAGGGGCAGCTGGACGCCAGGTTCCCCAACTGCTTCCTGAGGACGTCATCGGAGCGCCCGCCATTGCACATGGCGGGAGCTCCAATGACAACCTTCCGGTTCAGTGTCCGGATACCCTGAGCCAGAAGAAGCTTTTGGCTCCTCTGAAAGGAGCGCTATGTAAATCTAAAGAATGGAAGGCTTTAAATCTTTCCATCCTTGGCAGGATTGCATTAGTCAAGATGTTCATGATACGTCAACTCTTTTTCCTGTTTCAAACAATCCCATTGACTCTTTCCCATCTAGATTCAATAAACGGCAAAAATTAATTGATCAATTTATTTTCAATAAAAAGAGATCTAGATTTCCCAAATCCACTAGACACATCACTTCCAAGAATGGTGGTATGGCAGAAATAGTGCAAATTGAGTCCACTTTTAGGGTTAGAGTTAGGGTTAGGGAATCATGGGAACTGTAGTTTATTGTGGCACCAGAGCTCTCTGACAGAGAAGGCTCAATTTCTCAGGGAAAAAAACAATTCCCATGATTCCCTAGCACTAACCCTAACCCTAAAAGTGGACTCAATTTGCACTATTTCTGACAGGCTGCAACCCCCCTAACTATTCACCAGATATATACCCTTGGCCCTTGTAGTTAATTGTTGTTGTTGACATTGTTCTACAGACTGTATGTGTTTTATTGCAAAAACTCAAATAAAAATTTAATTAGATTTAAGCGTGAAGTGAAATCTCTGAAACCATTAGAAACTTTTATACAGATTCTGTTATTTATAATTTCTAGAGCTCTTTCTCAGTATTTTATACATTTCCAAAGATGTGAAATGAAGGCAGGCTAGACCTATCCCTTTCCCACAAGAAAGATGTAGGAGAATTAAATGAATGCATACCACTTAAGTCCTCCACAGCATCATCATAAGCATCTAGAACAGCTTGGTCACCACCCTGAGACTCAGCCAAAGTTTGCAAGGTCTCTTGCTTGGCCTCTTGATCCAATTCTGCATCGTCAGCCTGGATACCACAAAAGATAGCAATTGCAAAGAGAACACAAAGGCATTTCATGTTTGGGAGAGTTTGGGACAGTCTCACTTCAAAGAGTCACTAGAATGGACTAACAGCAGTGAGACCGTCAAGGAAAGAGGAGATGCTCATATATAAAAGATGGTAAACTGGACCAAAGCCAACACAGCCTTTTGATGGACCATGTTTTACTGCTTTGTATTCATACATTTGATAAAGACACAAGATAAGATTTAGCGTGTCACTTGTGGTCATTTTATTCTTAAGGAATGAACTCTCTTTGATGTTGTCCATACTTCCTCTGAACTTTTATCAATATTCTCTGTTTACCCTGATGCAATTGCTGATAATTCCCTGGTTACTCATCTGCTGGGCTCTCTAATTTTCCATCAGACAGCAGACATACTGCAAGCAGAATAACACAATTAACTGATCCTTATGTAGTGGGAAGGTTTTGGAATAGGTGGGAAGTATTATTCACAAAAGCAGATATACTGTTAAACTTTCAGTTAATACTCATTAGGACTATTAACAAAGCTTCTTTTCTTTTTATGAGTGGTCACAAAATAATAATCCTGGGTGGTGTTTAAAAAATAGAGGTGTTCCTTACCATCCCCAGGGTGGGATTCTTTGATTACTGTCTGTATGTTCACATTCCTCTCTTTATTAGCAATTAAGTAATGTGGTATTATGTACCTACAGAGTAGGGTGCATTTACCCTGATTTAAAAAAAAATGGTCTCACCTCGCATTTTCCAGGTCTGCAGTAACCCTGCAATGAGCCAGTGTGGTGTAGTGTTTAGGTTCTGGACTATAACTCTGGAGACTGGGGTTCAATTCCCACCTCAGCCATGAAACCCACTGGGAGACCTTGGGGAAGTCACATACTCTCAACCTCAAGGGAAGGCAATGGCAAACCTCCTCTGAACAAAACTTGCAACAACAACAACAACAAAAAAAAACAGAATAGGTTTGCCTTGTGTCCCCATAAATCAGAAATAATTTGAAGTCACACAACAAGTGCCTTCCTAACAACCCATTAAGTCACACTGACAGGCACAGTGAGAAAAAAGGAATAACTGGCCACAATTTTTCCCTAGCCAGGCCTAGGAGCTGCAAAGCAGGACATTCACACCTAGGAGATTTATGAGTACCAGTCAGGATGTGTCTGGCTGAAGATGAAAGAACATTAACATCCCATCTCCTCTCCTTGGAAATTGTTTACTTCAAAGAGTAGTAATCCAGAATCCTTTGATATAGAATAGCAACTCTTTGCCTCAGGCTAGGTTTAAGGGTATAAAAAATCACCAAACTCTCAGGTACATTGGGTCTGGTTAGATTTCATGGTGACACTGCATCACTGTGAACTCTGACTTGGGTCCTGGCTCTTTCCGTTGTCCTTTCCTTTTCATAACAGCACTCCTCCTACCTGGTAGCTCCACTAAAATAAAAATTTAAAAAATCAGACTCAGATGTAAGGTGGACTAGACATGGAAAGCCACACAGTTCCCACCTGTGGTGCAGTCTTTGAAATCAATCAGAAAAGGTAATTGCATTACAACACAGAATCCGTTCAGTAAATAATGATAAGATTATGTCTAGGGTGTTCCAGCTGCTAGATGGGAGGAAAAACAGTTGAGCATCTGAGGAGCAGGGGACTATTAGGAAAGGGACAGTATGAATAGATTTTGTGATCATAAGAAAGTGCCTACATGGGGCAATATAAAAAAACCCTCATTTCTTTGGAATAAAACAATCTTTTCTGATATAATAGATTTTAGGGGTGCAAACTCAAGATCAATGAAACATTGAACATGGAAAGATTCATTTCACATCCCTGTTGTTTTTGCTGTTGTTGTTTTGTTCATTTATAACCTGCCTTCTTCACAATAATAGGTTTCAAGGTGGATAACACCATATTTAAAATAATACAAATTAAAACAGAATGAAAGTGTTACCAAAAATATAAATGTCAGACTTAAAAACAATTGAATAATTATGAAGTTAAACCTTAAAAATATTAAAATCCATTAAAACACTGTTTAAAACTTTGGAACCTTCAGGTACTGATTTGTTCTTTCAAGTCATCCCTCTTGCTTAGTCCACCTCTGTGATGATTTCAAGCAGTCAGGATGATGTTCCATTTCTATCTCTGCAGATACTTTCTTCTCTGTGTTAGTGGGGCTGATGATGCAATGGATCGAGAGAGGAAGTGGCAACCTGGGGAGGCTTTAGAAGCTTTGATTGAGCTTTGGAACCATTACATATGTCTTGCATATAGGAGTGGTGGCACAATCAGACTTCCAGTGTGCACAGCATAGAAGGAGACTGTGGTTGGGAATTGCTCCACAACCAACCTCAGTAATATTGGGATCGGAGAAGCAGAAAATTTAAATTTTATTGTTCATTGCTGCTTCTAACCCTCTCCGATAAGAGAGGGGAATAGAAAGGACTCATTAAGGGCCACGTTGGCTGCAGACTGTCCTCAGGAATTGGAGTAAACACCCCAACCTGTGAGAAGATGGGACAACCAGACTGAAGACTCACCACAACCCATATTATAACCTTGCCGGAGCAAGGTAAAAACATCAGCACCACCATTAAAACAGATCCTCTTAAAATTCATGAAAATACAAGGCAGGAGTACTGTAGTCAAATTTACTTTTTTTCTTTCTTCAAAGAGATCTTCTCAAACAATTTCTTTAAGACAACGCCCAGAAGAATTCAAACATACAAACATACAAACAAGAGTGGAGCTAGTTAGCCAAAATTGTGAAGCTGAGAAGCTGCAAAATGGCTGCAAAATAACAAAACTGTTAACTAATAAACTGAAAAGCCGCAGTATAGCTATAGAGACTGGGAAAGAAAGGAAAAAACACTGGAAAATTCTGGAAAGCAAAATTAATCCAAAAAACAAAGAAAAAGATGCAAAACTGCTGCAAACCCTAATAAACAACAAACAGAACTATTGGAAAGAAGATAAAGGGGGGAGAGAGAGAAAGAGAGATAAAGAAAGACAGAACATCAAAACATCAGATTGCTGAGAGTAGACGAGGAGTGTAGGAAGATATGCAGAGAGTGAGAAGAGGGAGACAAAGGGGGGAAGCAGACAGCTTAAAGAGCCATTTGGGGGGCAGGGAAGGGGAGGGGCAGCCACACAGTGGGTGCCCCAACCCCTTCCCCAGGTCGTCCTCAGAGCAGCCAGCCCTCCACATGGCCAGCACTCTGAGGAAGACCTCCCGCTGCAGCATCCATACATGCTGCAGCCGAAGAGTCGCCAAAGGTGCTCTGCCAGCCTTTTCGGCGCACCTTTGGCAACTTGTGAAAGGAGTGCCAATTTAGCGCTCCTTCCAGGGGTGGCAAAGCTGCGCTGCAGGGCCGAGGTGTGGGGATACCTCGGCCCTGCGGCACAGTTTCCCCCAGTGATAGAACAAAGAAACAAACACAGAGAAAAGAGTAAGACAGGGAAAAGGGATGAGTTTTGAAAGACTAATCTTAAAAATTAACTTAAAAAGACAACAGTATAAATGGAACTGTGGGAAACAGAAAAAGAAGAATTGGAAGACAATAAGAAAGACAATAAAAAGATGATGAGAAACCCTACTGAGAAAGGCCATATGATGAATATAGAGAAAACAAAGAAAAAATTAATGAATTGAAAATTCAGATAAGTTTAAATTGATTTAGAAATAATTCAAAATTATTTGTAATTAAGTGAAGCTAGAACTCATCATTTGGATTATTTTATTTTTTGAGTTCTCATGGAAATTAAGCATATATTAAGGCAAGGAATATTGATATTAAATGGGAGAAATAATTGCCAAAAGATAATAGTGGGAAAGAGTAAGAGTAAACCACAAAATAAATGGTGACAAGAGTAGAAAAGCTAAGTTTATACTGAAATCATATCTTAGAAGCATTGTTAATTAATGTGCAATACAAGAAGTACTAGAAATTTAAAATCAGAGTAAAAAAAATTGTGGTAGACTGCTTCAAAAATTCAGATTTTGAATAATTATGTATTAGTATAATAATGAAATGTTATAGATTAATCAAATGTTATATACTGCCATATAGTGTAAGAATATAATATTTTCACAATTGTTTAAGTGATTTTTCTTCTTCTTCCTTTTTCTCTCTCTTTTCATCTCTTTCAATCAACACTATTGAGCTTACAGTTTGTAAACTGCTTAGAGACTGCATAGCATGGTATGAAGTGGTATATAAATGAAATGAAGCTATTAACATTGTTTACTTTTCTTATTATCTCCATTTATACTGTTATCTTTATATATTGAAAATTCTGATAAATAATACATATATTATTGCCAAGGATGGGGGATGTGTGTGTGTGTGTGTGTGTGTGTGTGTGTGTGTGTTAAAGTAGAAAAAGACAGAGAAATGGCAACTGGACAAAAAGGACTGACAGTTACAAATCATAACACAGAGAAGAGAATCAACAGAAGAAAATACAAGATTGACAGATACAAACATGATGCTTCTTGGGGAGATAAGAAAGATTAGGCAAGAAATGAAAGATCTGAGATAAGAGATGAAAGGTGAGATTAGAGAATCTAGCCAAGAGACAAGAAAAGAAAATAAAGAGGTGAGAACAGAAATAAGAATCAAGAATAATCAAGAAGAAAATCAAAAAGAAAATGGACAATGTCAGCAAAAAAATGGAAGAAATTACATCTGATATAATAAAGACTCAGAAAGACATAGAAAAATTAAAAGAGAAAACAATGGCATTAGAGAAAACAACAAAAAATAATAGATTGGACCAACGAACGGTGTTATAAGGACAAATATGTAAAAATATGAAGACTACTGGAAATTACAAATGAACGGCTAATAAATAAAATGACTCTAGCATTAATGAAATACATCAGATTTACATATGAGAAAATGGAGACAGAAATTGACAAATTTACTCTAAACAAGCAAGAGATAAAAAAAATACCCAGAGACATCATGGTGTGTATGATTAAGACAAGAACGAGATATATGATAACCCTTAAAAGCTACAACACTAAACTACATAGATGAAAATGAGGTGAAAATATTTAAAGATATCCCTCCACACATAATGATGGAAAGACAAAAATACAAGACATTATACCAACTTTTAAAAAACTTAAAAATAGTATTTAAGTGGGATAGAATTGAAGGCCTCTCCTTTAATTATAAACAAAGAAATTTAAAATCAACACAGTAGACAAGACATGAGAAATGGAACAAAAATAAATAGAGATAACAGAGAGAGAAGAGAAGAGAAGAGAAGAGAAGAGAAGAGAAGAGAAGAGAAGAGAAGAGAAGAGAAGAGAAGAGAAGACCAGGACAGCACATCAAACAAAAGAGAAGAAAGCATAAGTCTTGCTAATGGGAGACTTCAAGGCACTAATGGAGCCAGACATTGATAGAACATTTAAAAAAGGAAGAAAATCAGGGGAAAAAAACCCAAGGCAAATTCCCAATTTCTTTCTTTAAAGTTAATAGATGAATTTGCAATGCCCAATGTTTGGCAAGTCAAAAATGATAAAGCAACAGGATTTGCTTTCTTCTCAGAAGTTCATGATTCTTTCTCGAGGATAGATATGTTCATTGCAGCAAAAACTATATTACTTCAGATACAATCCACAGAAATTTTGCAGAAATTTACTTCAGAACACAATCCAATTCCATTAAAAATAAAAGAAAAAAGAACAGAATATAATGGGAGACTTATGTAAAAAGTGCATGTTAAATGATGAAAATATTGCAAAAAAAGTCAAAGAAACCTTGAAGATGTATATTAAATAAAATAAAACAGAAGGAATAAAGAACAAAATTATATGGGATGCCAGCAAGGC